CAGATGTGCCACTATCATCAGGTACTAGGATATCAGTAGGGTCTGAGGCATAATCAAACTCAGACTTGCCTGTAGGATCTCTGTGTATGTAAATAAACATAATTACCGCAATGCAGGGTTCAAAATTAACAAGGTGATTGCCACGATGTGAAAAGAGTTCATTGAAGGGAGGTGGTCGCCGTGCAGTGCATGTTCGGATTTCATGTAAACAATGCATTTTACACGTGTTGTATACGTCGCTATGGGTCACATATCGAACAGAACGTAGCCCCAATGACCAATGCCCTTTAAAGGCTCCTCACCCAAAACATGAACCCTAGAGCCCTAACACACAAATGTAATTTAATTTTCCCTCCAAGGGGTATATATAATTGAAACGAGGGAGGGGATTGATTTGAGTTTTGGGTAAGAACTCGTAGATGCCTTTGAATATTGCCCTGTAATATATAGAGGAAATGTTTTAGAAATATACTTGAAATTTGGTAACTTCAGAATACTAAATTTCAAAGCCTGTTTAAGTGTCTGAAAATCTAATTTTAAAGGTGAAAATAAAGTAGACCTGACATTTTTTTGTGATTTTTCTATCTGTAAACAGCTTTAATCTGTGAGCAAAACCCTCTCAAAGTTCAAAATTTGTTCCAGGTGTGCAGAAATTAACAACTGTTCTGATACGTAATGCTCATTCTCACTTTTTTGTTGTTGTAGGCCATCATGCAAAATATCACGATATTCGTAATTTAAATTTTTTTTTCTTTGACCTGAAGTAAAACGTGCATTCATTTGTTTACGCAAAATCAGAACAAATACAGGGCAATAACTGTGACATATTACTGTGTCCATACATCCTTGCAAGCATTGTGTAGTGACATCTCAAGTTAACCCACATCTCACTTACGTTCTGAGTCGATAAATAATAATTCTCGTGCCATGATCACCTTCAATGGCCTGAAACTCACGCAGAATTTCTTGTTCCGTTCTAAACAGAGAATAAGTCAATATAGCATTAAGGCTAGCCTGTCCATCAGTTGTCGAAATTTGCGTGTCTGAAAACATTTGTTAAGGGTATTATTAATTGAGGTTTGTGAATTGCAACTTTTGAAAATTTTAAAGTTTAGAAGGCTTCGTTATACGTTTACCGGACTTAAAGTGCTGCAGTCACCATGCAGAGCCTGTTCAAATTTCATGTAAAACAAATTATTTTACAATTACTGGTATACAGGTCTCATATCAGAATACAACACGAAGCGACAACAGGAGCGCTTCTAACATACTCAAAAACTTTCCTGTAATTTAAAGACAACTCAAAAATCTTCCAGACCTCAAAAAATCCAAAGACTTTCAAAGGATGTTCCCAACACTATGACCCTGAAATAAATGAGCTTGTAAGTATGACAATAACCTCTAAAAGACAGTTTGAAAAAATTTACAACAATGAGAGGCTATAAAATTAAAGGATACTTGTAATGCTATGCCAGGCAACAATAGGAACCATAATAGTGTCCGCATTGATAGCACTCAGATAGGTCTGTGATAACAAACCAGCTGACATGTATTTCTCTCTCTTTGTTAAAACCAAAGCATCTTTTCCTAGTCTCATGGAACCACTTTTAAACCCATTACCATAATGTCCAACAGGTCTGTGTCCATTAACCTCAACCTTCTCGCAGTACCCAAAACTAAATTGGAGAGAAAATAAGTAAATTGAGGTTTAATACATGATTGCAGACAATGTTGTTTTATCATTAATGATATAGCGGTCAAAATTGCATAACAAGGGTGTACAATGAGTCACCCTTTTGAAGGTGAAAACCAAACAATCATGCTGGAATTCCAAAAATTTAAAAATTTGTTGTGTACCGTATTTATCTGGCTAAGAGCCCATGCCCTGACAAACGCCCACCCCCCACTTGCGATAAAA